CCTCAGCAAAAAGAGGAGGATTGGCAGATGTTAGCTCAGGGCTGATCTTCCTCAAAAAAACAAAACAAAACAAAACACGATTTGCAGCTGGCACTTTATTGAAGGAGACAGCAGATACAGTAGGTTTGGAACCATGGATACTTTGAAAAATCCAAGTTCTGAGGCTTTTGTCCTTAATTGTCAAGTTGTGGCCAATTCCCATCTACCATCAGCAGACCAGCTTTTCAAGTTTATGATGCCCTACCGTTAGACACCCTAGTGGTGCCGGTAGCTTATGGATGGTGTAGGATGACCAACTGTCCCAATTTTAGCACTGGAAGTCCTGTGTTCCAGGAAACTCTTGGTCTGGACAAACGGAAAACTGGGACATTGGTGGTTTGTAGCAGTTGAGGGAGGATGAGAGACCACTTAGGGATGACAGACCACTTAGGGATGACAGGCAGGGGATCTGGTAGAAAGTGCTTTGGAGTTGTTATATGTCTCGGTTTGAATCATGGCTGTCACTTTAGGTAGATCACGTCACCTCTCTGGTCCTGTGGAGAGCTCTGTGAAAGCAGAGTGTTTCTGTTAGAGCCATGTGCTTGGCCTCTATCTTGCCATTTATCAGCCTTCAACCACAAGTGGAGAGTGAGGTGTGCATGCTAAAATGGAGCCTGGGTGCTGGAGATGCAAACTGAAGGCTCATGGTTCCCGCCCGCCCCGAGCTCAGAGCGTAGCGCCATCTGTGTCACTGCAGCCATAGTAGAGGCTTTTCAGTAGCAAACCTCCAGGACTTTCTGCCTGGTTAGTCCGCATTCATTGCTCTTGTAACTTGAGAGCAGCCTCTCTTCCTAGGAGATAGTAGACTGAGCTCCCTAAAGATAGCCTTTCAGACTAAAAGAATCAGATCTCTCTTGACCCCTCAGATTTTGAAAGCTACTGGTCTTACTATCGTTAAGTCTCATTTTCTCCGTTTGGAATCCCAGCTCTGTCGCTTACTAGCAGTATAACCTGGAGCAAGTGACAACTTCTTTTTGGGCCTTAGTTTATCTGTAAAATAGGGATAATAATGATTCCCACCTCATGAGTTGTTAGGATTCAATGAGATCATTCCTGTTGAGCATTTAGCAGAGTGTCTGCCACATAGTAAACAATAAATGGAAGGAATGAAATGATTCCATTTTGCATGTGTGTCTGAGGGTGTTGGGGCCAGCTCCTCTCTATCCATTGCTCCGACTCTAAGCACCTCAGAGAGAGGAGCCACCTCTCGTTTTTGTCCCTGTGTCCACACCCAGCCCCTGCCTGGTAAACAGTAGGTGCTTAATAATATTGGTTTATGACCTGATGATGATGATATGACCTATCTTCCGGGATTAATAAGGGTAAGATAAGAAAATATTTGAAAGCACACTGTAAACTGAAAAGCATAACACTCAGTATGTCCCTCCACTGAGATATTTGTCATAGTTCATTATTTGTTCACGTCTCTTTTCTGCTCACTAGTCTGTGCACTTCTCCAAAGCAGAGATTACATCTTATCTCTAAATCCCACTCCACCACCTGTACGATGTCCTGCACACATTAGGTGCTCAGGTAGTTTAGTTGAATGCAAATATCGTACAAAAGTAAGGAATTGGAAAACTATTATTAGGGTTGGGAAAGAGGGCTGGTAAATACAAACTGGTTCTTCTTTTCTTCCTGGTGTTTACCTTTACACAAGCAGACACTCAACTGTTCCTAAAAAAAACTTCTTCCCGGGGGAATGATGAAATTGAGGGAGGGAAAAGGAGGAGGGGTGGAAATAACAGCTTCATTATCTGAGCAACTAGCCCCAGAAGCTGGCACTTAGGCACATCTTCACAAGCTCTTGGGTTGGAATTAATGTGATCAACCTATCGCGTTGAGGTTACCTCTCTGATCATCATCAGCTGATAACTGTTGAAGTGTTTGGCATACCCCAGGTGCACTGGCTACAGAGTCGTGCCAACTTGGTACAGATTGGGGTGCCTCTCCCGTGAATGGGCTGTGGGGGCCAGTATTTTGCGGTTCTGGGCTGGGCTGGGCAATATGGGAAAGTAAGAAGTACCTAGGTGAGGTCCTTTCTGTTCTGACTCCCTAGAGGGTCTTCTATCAGAAGCTCCTCTTTTGCATCCTCAGTGGCTCCAATGAATATGCCGGTGTGCAAGGTCATTGTTAGAACAGCTGCTGATAGGGCTGAGGAAGGGCCCCTGCCGAGTCTTGTTCTGACATTGGCCTTGGAAAGTCCTATTTCTTGGTCTTGGAGAGAAGGCCTGGCTGATAGGCTAGCAACATTGGAGAGGTATGTTGACAATAGATCCAGTCTACTGTGTCCCGGGCCTTGGGTTCCTGGCCCCCAGGCCCTTCAGGGGTCTACCCTTCTTTTTGTGTGGAGCTGAGACTGGCGTGTCCCTCTGCTCTGGGAGGATCGTACTGAGTGTGAGAACTTAGGTTGGCTCCATTGCCCTAAGGGTGAGGAAGCCAGCAGCAGGAAAGTTGTTAAGACCGGGCTGCGGTGGGGAAACCCCAAGGCCAAGTTTTAAGAGAACTACTGGGGATGCTGACTCAGTGCCGGTCAGAGCGGGAGCTGAAGCGCTTACTATTTTACAATAAATACTAATGAGATTCTAGATCTATAATAACATTTCACATATCTAAAACAAACCATGTGCTTGTAAAAAAGTGAAAAGAGATCAACTTTAAGCCATAAATTCTTGGTAATAGAGGGGTTTTTTCTATTTATGTTTGATAGATACTTTTGTTTCCAGAGGAATGTCAACTCCTAATTTCATAATGTATCGTGGGCTTAAGAAAATTGAATTTAATAAAAGCCAGAGATGAATGGCATCCTTAAAGGTCCCAACACTTGTCTTTATTAGCAGGACAAACTGCAGGTCTCCAAACACTGCTTCTCTCCAAATGAAAGTTTAAATGAAAAGTACAGTTGTGTCACAGGTTAAATTTCATTGTGGGCCCAGCTAACATTGTTAGTGAGGAGCTGGCTGTATTTGTTTCCTTAGACACCAGGGCAGCCAAACTCACCAGGCCATGGAGCTCTTTCTGTTGGGGAAGTGTTTCTCCCACTTAGTGGGAGAGAGAGGATATGCAGAAATTCAGGAGTCAGATGAGCCTGACTCAGAGGAGCCCCGCCTCAGAGTTTGCTCTTGGAAATCTTGAATCTCCGATTTTTCAGGGGGCTAACGTGTATTTTGTGTGTGTATGTGCCTCAGTTTTGTCAGAGCAAAACTCTCCTCTGCCTGTCCTGCTTTATAGTGCTCTGTGGGGAACAAGAGGCCCAGGGAATTGGGGAATAAGTCCCCACCTCTCTTTGCATCGGGAGGAGAGGTGTCACCTAGGAGGGAAGCAGCCGCCTGGGCCTCCTCTCCGTCTCCCCTCTGCCTCAGCCTTCCTCTCCATTTCCCCCTACCTCTGGGGGCTCCTGTCAGCTTCTGCATCTGTGGGGATCAGCCCAGGGGGACCAGGCAACCAGAACCTTTGAATTGCTCTGTCATGAAATCTGACCGTCTTGATTTGGTCTTCAGTCCTGCTGTAATGTGTTAGATAAAGATGCTTTGAAAACAGGCCCACTAGAGTGGGTATGTTTGGTGGGGAGAACACCTGGCAGCGCTGGGCTGTCAAAGAGATTGGCCATTTCTCCTGCTGCCTTCCCACTCATCCGTTTCCTGAGTGCTGTCAGGTGTCAATGGCACCTGTGTTGCCTCGCCAGGCTGGCTGTCCCTGGAGAGATCCAGTTTGCCTTACTTTAGTCATACTGGAAGATCCTCTCCAGAACAGGGACCTGGGGTAGAAATGCCACTGGAGCTGGCTGTTGGGGCCACTGAGTGGGCAAAGCCTCTCTTCTCTCTCTGTGGTGGAGGCCTTTTCCACATGCTGATTTTACTTGGAGGACTTTGCTTTTATTTATTTTTTTTATTATTTCCTATTTGTCTCTTCCAGATGTTTTCAGGGCAGTTTTTTTGTGTGTTGTAAACTAATTCCATTCATGTTTTAAAAATTTATGAAAGCGCTAATAAAAATGTCAAAGTGGTAAAAATGTTAGCTTTTCCTCTGCTTTGATTAAATTTTGCAAACTGTTTTTGAATATTAAAAAGCAATAATTTTTTTTATTCTCTCTCCTTGCTTTCCCTCTTCTTTCTGGTGTACGTGTGCTCTCTCTTGCCCTCTCCCCTCTCTGGTGCGTTCCTCCCTTCCCAGGAGCGATGTATGAGGCATGCTGCACAGCCAGCCCTCTGCAAGCCTGTTTGCACACCAGGACCTCGGTGCTGTGCATCTCTATTAAATAACGGAGACAAATTAATCTTAGAGACACCAAACAAATTGTCACTCCTCCTCCTTCCCTTCCATTACGTTCCAGTGGACTGGGAAGGGCTGGCTAAGTGGTTGCGGGGTGGGGGGAGCAGGCTGTAGGGAGGGCATACTGCCTGAGAGAAAGGTGGGAGGCACTAGCTCTAATTACTCTTACTCAGTTTTCTCCTTCTCTTTAGTATCCCCTTTGCCTTTATTTATTATTTATCTTTTTTGTTGTTGTTATAAAAACTAATGAAGAAACTCGTTGGCTCTGTCTAAACACAGATATGCAAAAATCTGTGCATTGATCTGATGGCTGGTTGTCTATATGGATCCAGGCCCGTTCCAGGGCAAGGACCTGGGCAAGGGGAAGGGGGCCTACTTCTAGGGGCTCAAGTGAGCTGGCCTCTGTTAGAGACCCAGTTGGGGAAAGTGGGGTAGATTGTACTACTGTCTTCCTTCCCCTTTCCAGAGATAATGACCATGGGGTGTGTGTCCAGTCCCTAGAACCTGTGAGGATATTAACAGTGGGAGGGTTAGGATTGTAATTGAGCTGGCAACATCTCCCTCAGTCTTGGGTTTGGCCTGGCAGGAGCTAAGGAGTCCAAAACACTCCCTCAGTCTTGACTCTGAGTTATTTGAAATGGTTAGTTAAGAAAACTTATTCCTCCTTTTCTATATCTTTGCCATTCCAGGAAATCATCGAGTTCCCCATCCTGAAGCTAAATGGCCGGACCATGGAGATTGAGTCTACCTTTCACATGTATGTCCAGCCCGTAGTCCATCCACAGCTTACTCCCTTCTGTACAGAGGTAAGGGCCCTGGGGCTGGGCAGCAAGTGCTGCTGGGACAGGAGCTTTTGTATCATTGGTGCTCTATACAGGCTGCTTAGGGAAAGCCTAGGTCTTAAAAGCAGTTAAGGCAGGTGTACATTAGACCCAGCAGGTGGCTTTTTATAAAGTCTGCCACTCCACTTGGACCACTGTGGTCACTGGGGACCCAGGGAGAGCAGTGGCACAATCTGTCCCAGCTTCCCCAATATTTTCCCTTTCTTGTCATCCCTGTCCTTCCTGGTGACCAGGCACTTGTTATCCAGGAGGAGGAAGGTGCTTCTGAGGTTCAGCCTCTTTTCAGTTCCATTTTGCATAAGGCCTCTTGGCAAGGGGTGGAAGTTTCAGCTTCTTGGAAGGAGAAGTTATGTTCAGGCTTATCTTAGCTTTCTGATGATGTTTTTCAGTCCTTGAGCAAAGTGGTCCTGTGTGTGAGGCATCAGTTGAGTTTGTGGGAAGCACAGCTCTGTCACAGAGGAAAGAGAAGGGCAGTCCAAGTGGGGTACAAGGACAGCCTGGACAAGGCTGAAATGTCCTTATCCTAGGCTGGTACTGTACTCGGTCACCTCACCAGTAGGTTAGTATGGGCCCCATTTTACAGATTGTGAGACTGGGACTAACAGAGATCTTGATGCTTGCTCAAAAGAGCCATTTGCAGAGAGGAGGTACCCCTGAAGAGTTCTGGCTCTCAAGACTGTAAGGAGAAGCCTTCTGTGGCTGCTTTCCCCTGTGAAGTGTTGTGTTATGCACTCTCTGGTGGCCACAGGTTGTGGTGGAACATGGGTCAAGCATGTGTGATAGCAGAGGTGATGGGAAAACATGAGTGTTTCTGGAATCTTTTAAGAATTTGAGTCAGGAGTACATTAGAGACTTTGTGCCTTCGTTTAGAGACCTACTGTCTACATATGAGTGAAACAGGATGGAAGAAGTTCTTGAGTAATCCCAAAACAATCTTGGTGTGGAGGAAGGCTGGAGAAGGGCCTGCCTGCTCTTTGCGGGGGGGTTGGGGGGGAGGTGGCTCAGTGGCCTCTGAGGCTGACGTAGCCCAGATATGAGGTCCCAAGGGTCGCTCCTGGGCTTGGTGCCAGTGTTTGCTGCCTGACCCTCATGGGCCTTTATTGTTACACACATCCATCTGCCAAGGTGTCCTGTCTCTCAAGCCTTCTGTTGTTCCAACGAATGATGTTGAGGTTCTTGCTCCCTCTGGGGTTTACTGTTTTTTTACCCCCTTTCCTCTGGGAATTACCTATACCACCAGTGGGCACTAATCTGTCCTTTTTGCCCCTTTTGAAAAATCACCATTTTAACGATGACGAAGTCCTCTTCCTTATGGGAAGGGAAGACTTTCCTTAAACCAGCCAGTCACCTGAGCCCTCCGCTGGCCTGAAAGTGTAGTGTCCTCTCGTCCTTCTCTTCCTGTGCGCACTCTCCCTTGGGGGCTCCAGCTCCTGCTCTGCTGCCTGGCATAGACAGGCAGGCCCAAATTTTGGAAAGGTTGTGACCTATTTAGGGATGGAACAGAGCGCTGTGGGAGCTCGGCCCTGGGCAGGAGTGGATGCTGGGGAGTGTTGGGAAAAGGGATCTTTTTCAGAGCAGGGCTGCTGCTGCTGCTGCTTTTGAGGGGGGAGGGGAGGAGGGATTGTGAGACTATGATGAAAGCTATGTTTCCTTTTTTTTAGAAAGTTTCACCCGAGGACATACATGCATAATTTGGACGGTAGTAGGCATGGTGGTGTTGGGCATGAACACGCTTATTATGAAGCCTGCTCTAAAAGTGAAGATGCGACATGTGGCTGTGCTGCAGGCACTGAGTCTACCATTTTGTCTCAGGCTTCCAGAGCTCCAAACTCTCCTTGACCTGGTCCCTGCCTTTTTGTCCAGACTCACGTCTCCCTGCTTCATCTCCGCCTCACTTTCCTCACCCAAAAGTCACATGATGGTTCTTCTGCCTGTACACTGCTCCCACTCTCCTCCCCCTGGCCCCTGCTTGTCCTCCAGGACTCTGCTCAGGGTCACCTTCTCTGGGAAGCCTTCCCTGAGCCCCAGGCTGGGTTGTGTTCACCCCAACATAGCACCAATCAGATACATTATACTGTAATTATTTATCTGTCTCCCCAGTAGACTGTGAGTTCCTTGAGGACAAAAACTAGACCCAATCCATCTCTGTCCCATCATTAGGGCCTGGTACCAAGTAAACACTTAATACATGTTCCTTAAATGAATGAATATTGTCAAAGAGTTATTCAACCACACCTTGCCTCCCCCAAGAGTAACTGTACTGCTGACTTGCTCTTTTGAGTAAGTAAAGTCTTCTTTGGAAAGTCTCAGATCATCTAAATAATGCCCTGTATCCGTGCCAGATGGAACTGTAATGCAGAGAGAGGCGTGGACACAGGATGGGGGCCATTGTTCTGAGACCTCATCGAACCTGGCAGTAGCTGCCTTTGGGGGTAGATTTGGAGGTCATTCTAGCCAGAGGGAATCTCTCATTAGTAAGTGTAGGGAACAACCACACCTTCTGGTTGTGCCTAAGCAGCTCCTCTTGTAGGATTTTCTTTTGTGCACAAGAAGTTCTTAAGAACCCTAGCCTGTGTGTGTGTGTGTGTGTGTGTGTGCACGCACGTGTGCATGCACATACACACACGACACACATAAGCACATGCTTATGTGGGGAGAGAGGCTCAGTGCTGAGCAGCAGGAAAAGGGAGTCTGCCTGGAGTGAGTCTGTAGCCCACATATAGACACTCTCTCTGCTCTGTGTAATGAACGTGGTATTAGCCTTCTTGAGGTCCTTTCTTAGTTCCGGTTGAGAGTCTGTCTGGAGACATGGTTCTGACAGAGATAGGATGGGGTGTGTTTCATACCTTCCCAAGCTCTTTGCCTACCACCTCTAGGATCTGCTCCAACCTCTCAGATCTCTGTTTCTAGCAGCTGGGCTGCTGCACAGGCCCTGACTGTGTGCAGTCTTTTTTGTTGTTGTCATTATTGTGAAAACACTAGAAAAAAATACCCATTTTGCTAAATGCCAGTAAAGGGCTTTGTCTTGCACCTGTACTTATAATGGGTGAGATTTATTGGTCTCTTTGTCTGAGGAGAAAGACTAGGTCTGATTATCAGATGGCACACCAGAAACAAGTGCTTATGTAATCAACAAACTGTCTTGGTGTCAGAATACGATAGTGTTGGAGGTAAACGGTGAAAGGAGAAAGCACTAGCTGCTGACAAGCTGTTGGCACTGGGTGTCCTGGGCTGCTTCCTGTAGTTGCTGGTGTTTGTGATGAGGCCAGCTCGTTCCTAGACAAAGCCCGTGTGTGGGTAGGGGATCTCAGGAACCAGCCACGTTATCAGTCAGGGTCAAAAGCCCCTCGCCTAGTGGTTTCCGAGTCTGGAGAAGCGGAAGTTAATCTGTAATCCCTCAGTGAAAGGAGCCGCAGAGCACACATTAATTCTTCCTCTCACCTCCCCTGCTTTAAGAGGTTAAGGTCTCTGAGCTCTGTTTAGCCTGTGAGCCCTGCTTCTCAGCTTAATAATACTTGGCTTTGCTCTAGTACCTTTCATTGTGAGGATGTGAAAGCATTTTACAAACATATGTTAACCCAAGTGGGAATGGGCTTAAACTGCAGCATGAAGGATTTAAGTTATGCCTAAGGTAGCACTTCCCACTATTTATTTTATTAAATTGTCTCTCTCCCTCACAGCTTCTGGTATCAGTCTTACAGGTATCTTACAGGTCGTCAGTATCAGGTACAGGAACTAACTTTCTTAATTTCACCTCCTCTTCACTCAGTGCCTTGGCAGAGCTGATAAGAAGTGGTCCATCCTTGGAGGGATTAATACAGGAGAGTGAGGTCTCCTCCTGGAAGGATGCCTCTAGATGAATCAATAGCTCAAGCCCCTGTGACTCTGGATGTTGAGTTCAGGTCCTTTAGGAACTCAGCTGTAAGCTGTGTCTTGCTGGACCACAGATGGTCTGAGAAGCATGGAGAGAAAGAACTGAGCTCAGTAGGCTCCTCCTCCCAGGCTGATGATCCTAGGTTTGCTGACTACTGGAGCGGAGTGTGAAAAAGCCCCAGGATCCTGGAGCCCAGGAGGAAAGAGGCAGACCTAGTCTGTAATGAGAAATCTTGCAGAGCAACGCTCCTGTTTTCTTTTTTGGTGTACTGATTTTCTCTCCCCACATCTGTGATTTTCCTGGGGCCCAGAGCAGGTACTGGCGGGGTATACAGATGCTGACCTTGGTCCCGTCTCCAAGGAGGGAGGGTTCTTGGCAAGGGTGCCATTGGTGTGTGTGAGTGAGACTTTCTGGAAGCCCTTTGGTGTTCAGCTTATCTGGGTGACCCTTGGTGGGAGCCAAGCAAAGGAGTAGACCTAACCTTGCCCCAGGAAACTCAGAGCAGACACAAGACTGGCACGCAGACCCTGGAGCTTTCCAAGAAGTAAGAGTGGCTGTGGGTTTTCCAGGATAGTCCTGACCCTAAGCCCCAGCCCCAGCATAATGGTGTGGCTTGGCCCTGGAAGAACTAAGCAAGAGAGAAGCCAGGCCAGAAAGGGCAGTGCTGGGTGCATAAACGGTGGTCAGTCATCTGGATGTTGGACCTGGAGTTGGCAGCAGGCCTACCCTGGACTCTGGTCCCTACGTGCCTGAGACAAAACACAGGGCAACTGCCCATTCGGTGTGTGGCTCTAGAAGGTGTACAGGCTCTGGGTGCTAGCTGGGCTGGGCGTAGGAGGGGGCTGCCAAGAAGAACATGGATTCCATGAGGGGAGGGTTTTCATGTTTTTCTTCACTGCTGGATCCCTAGTTCCTAGAACAGGGCCCATGAATGGTTGCTGACTAAATAAAAGGAGGAGTGTTAGCACTCCAAGATTAAAGCTGCTGACCTGGGCTCTTCCCCATCCCCACGCCCCCTGCCCTCAGTGGACCATCTTTTCCTTTCTTTGGCTCAGGCCCTCCCTCTGCTGGGCAGTTATTTGGTCTCCCAAGCAAGGAAAGGGTGTGGAGGTGCCAGCTGGGTGGGCATGCTGTGGGTTAAAGCCTTGCAAAACAACAGTGTAGTTAATCTTTCTAATTTATTTTCCTTTTAGACCATGGGAAGTCTGTAGGCAGCAGCTGTTACCCAATTAAAATACAGATTAATATAAAAACAGTTTCTGGAATATAAAATAGAGTGGCTGTGTCCTTACACTTCCTTAAAATACCACCTAATAATGACTTGATGAACTACAGAAACCCACCTAGAGGAGCTCAGCGTTCTTAAAATGAAAATTTCTTCCCTAAAAGGTGTGTATTACCATTCCTTGTAAGTCGCTATGAGAAAATAACCTTCCCTCTTAGAGCCAGCGGTTTCTGTGAGTTGGGTATTTGGTATTCATTAAAGGTAATTATAGTTTAATTGGAGTTTAATCCCCACCCCCAACACTTAAAAAAAAAAGAAGGAAAGAAGTTTCTGAGCAAGCCTGAGATGCTCCTCTCTCTGGGAGCAGCCAGGGGCATGTTGGGTGGGGTGGTTTCCAGCTGGGTCCAGGTCTATGGATGGGGGCCTCCTGCCTCAGATCCTTGAGGCAGTCTGTCTGGTCTGTGCTTGAGGGATATTTTCACTTCAAAACAAAGCCAAGCAAAGCAGCAAGCTTGTTTAATTAAAGTACGCCTGACCTGTGGGGAGCATAGGCCTGTGAGTCAGAAATTCTCTAGACCAGGTTTGTGTATTAGGCCTTTTTGTCTGAGTTTCCCCATCAGTTAAAGGTGCCTGTTTCCTGCTTGGCTTGTTGGTATTGAGGGCCCAGGTGTGCAGCGTGGATTCCTGTGGGGCCCCCGCAGCCCTTTACTGATGTTGGAGAGGAAATGCTGGACATTGAGGCCCAGAGAAGGGGTGGATTTGAAACCAAGTGTGCCTGTCTAGTATGAGCATTCCCCAAGTTCTACAGGAATTTCTGTGAAGCTTGGAGGTGAATTTACTTTAGACTGTAACTTGTGGGGAGTTATTGAGTCTACTGAATACAAAAGACACATAAAATCTTTTCTTTTTTTTTTTGCAAAGTGAACGCTGAAACAGGTATGAGAAACACCCATGGTTAGCGTGTATGTGTGTCCCCATCTCGGGGCAGGAGGTTGTGGGGGAGGTTCACACTGTGTCCTGGGACTTGATTCCCAAGGCTTCTGTCAGGTTCTGAGCCTAGAGCAGTGCAGGTCAGCATCTTTTACATGGAAGGAGAAAAACAGAAAGGAAAGGATCCAGGCCAGCTTTGAGTCCCTGCGCCCTGGTTGTCCACCCATCTGCAATTTCTCTTTCCTTTCAGCTCACTGGGATTATTCAAGCCATGGTGGATGGTCAGCCAAGCCTACAGCAAGTGCTGGAGGTAGGTTGAGTGACCTTTAATTCCTGACCTCTGACCCCTTCCTGCTCTCTGTCTCTCCCTCCCCTCCTGAGAAGGTAGCCGTGTAATTTGACTATGATTATGGCTTGATTAGAATAACATTTGCTGTCACATCAGTGACATGCTGTTGAGAGTATTGAACCATTGATCTGTCATCTCCAGCTGTTCCCGTCAGGGTTACTGACAAGATGTCCGAGTGCTGCCAGGAGTCAGGTGGAGGGCCCCCAGCCCTCCTGGCCCATGGCCCTGTGCTGCTGGCTCAGGGCAGCCTGCAGTGGGCGGGTGAGGGAGTAGGGAGCTGAGCCTGTGGCGCTGCGGGACTGGCCCTGGGGACTGGAGGTGTTTTTGTTTAGCTTCAGTGTTGGCTTCTTGTGGCGTGTGAGCACTTCATTAACTCCCCCAGAACTCCCCATCGATGGCTTTTGTTTGCTGTCAGCTCCTTCAGGAGGTGCGGCTGCGCCTGCCTGCCCCACCACAGCTTGCTGCTGGATGCATTGTGCCTGTCAGGGGTGCAGAGGCTGCACTGGGTAATGATTCCTAATCAGAATAATTACAACAATTGCCTCTGTGAGGGAAATCAAATTAAAGGCTTTAGAACCCTTGGCAGAGACCACACTTCTAGGATGTTCTCCTCGGGGGAGCTGGAAAAGGTTAAGATGCTGCTTCTTGTGCTCCTGCTTGAGGGAATAAAGAAGGGCAGTGCTTGGCCTCAGCTTGTCTCCCAGCCCCCTCTGGGTGGGCGGGGGGATGGTTTCAGAGAGGGAGAAGGTCCCCCTCCCACTTCCTTCTCTCTAGGAGGAGGGGAGAAGAGAAAAATCCTGTGGATCTCCTGAGGTGCTTTATTTATTTTTAAGACCAATGAACCCAAAGCCCAGCTCCATCAAAGCACAGGAGAAAGCAGATGGGGTGGGGAGGGAAGGGCACATATGCATTGGAGGCAGTCAACCTAAAGGAAGTAGGGCGGTGGCAGGGAGAGGGAGGAAGAGCTCTTTATTTAGCCAGGAGGGCCTGTCCCAGCGGGGAGAGAAATGCAGACTGAAGTTGCTGGGGCCTCCTCAGGATAGAGCCAGGGCCAGAGGGCAGGTTTAGGCTCACCCTGCTGCAGAGTGTGCTCCCTGTCCCCAGGAGTGTACGAGCCCAGGCTCTATGCCTGGCCAGGCTCTGACCATGTTGGGTCGGGGTTGGGGTGCCTGCAGTAGACTGGGAGAAGATAAGATGAGGGCTGAAGTGTCTCCCAGCCCCACTGACCCTCTTTTTTTGAGGGGAGATTCACTCCTATGACAGGGGGCTCCTCAGCCTGGACTGCTCCCTATAGGACCAGACTCAAGGAGAAAGAGGAGATCCAGCCTTCCCTGTGTCCCAGCCAGCATCCCTAGCCAGGGCCTGGCCCCTGAGGGAGGCCAGAGGACAGGCAGCTTTTCCCTCGAATGTCTCCGGCTGGGATCCTAAGAGGAAAACACTGCTCTGGGCCAGCACAAAACCAAGGCTGTGAGGTTATGGATTTTTTGGTCAGTGGTGCCAATTGAGGAGGAGATATGGTCTTCAGGAGACTTCTTCCTGCTGACCCCAGGCCAGCCCTGGAGCAGGATGCTCAGAGGATTCTGAGTCTCACCCAGGAAGCTGCTTTCTGCTACTTCAGCATACTTTGTGGCTGAAGAGGAAAGATTCCTGGAATTGGCCTGAATAGGGAGTCTCTGGCAGGACAAGGAGACCAGACTGGGCTCTGCTTTGTCCATTAGCCCGGAGTTGGTTATAGAGCTAAAGAGCTAACTTCTTATCCTAACCAAGGTCCTGAGCAGGCAGCTGGCTAGATACCTGCCTGTCTCACTTGTTCTACGTAGGGCTTAGGCTGGGCTCCTCTAGACCTTCAGTAGCTGGGAGAGCTGGCCCATCTGATTGGGGGTTGTCTTGGTAGTTCCTCCAACTCTTCATCCGTTCAAGCAGAGAAGGGAAGGAAAAAGACAGGCCTGACTCCAAATGTAGAATCACTTCCTGGACAGGCCTGTGATAGAAGATGCTCACTAAATATCTGCTGCATGAGTGAATGGCCTGGGCCCTGAGCTTCCAAGGACCTCAGTGAGTATTGGGTGCTTCTTATGATGAAGGCCTGGCCTTGCTGGGCGTTGGCTCCTGACAGTCCTGTCCTGTCCTGCTCTCTTTTCCAGGACCACTGTGCAGGAGTTGGGGTGTTGGGGAGCCCCCCCTAGCAGGTGGGGCACTTACCTTGGGGATTTAAGGCCAGTGAGCCAGAGTGTTAACTGACTTAGGGAGCTCCAAGTTGGCCTTACCTCTTTTCTTATGCAAAGTCTGCCTTTTTTTCTGTAGGTGACCCTGGGGAAAGGATGTGCACGCATGTGTGTGGTTGTGTGTCTGTGTGTGTCCATGCAAGGGGTTGGGCCAGAGTGGCTGGGGAGACAAACCATTCAGCAATGGAAGGTCCAGAATTTAGCTGCTGGGGAGACCCTTGGGCTAAGGAGGATTCTCTGGTGTGTGGACGGTGAAGAGGGTCTGCATCGTCTGGCACTGGGGAGCAGCTCTGACGTTCCAGCAGGTAGGACTGCTGTAGCCTTGGAACTAGATAGGATCCTTGGCCCTGCTCAAGGACTGCTCCAATGTGGGCCAGGCCTCCAGAATCTCTGAGGTGTCCAGGGAGCTAGCCTACACCTGCTAGAAATAATCTTACTTTAACATTTCCATGGGCTCTCTGTTACCTGCTGGGCACATAAGGCCCTTCACAGTCTGGCCTAACCTAGTTCCCCAGCCTCCATTCCTGTCCCTCCTTTCTACACACTATGGCCTTCGGTCACGTTACTCCCTGCTCATATTTCAGTCAATCAGCAAATATCTGTTGAGATAAGACACTGGGCTCGGTTAGGGATTAAGACAGTGAATAGGACAGAGAAGAGTCCTTGCCTTCATGGTGCTTAGTCTGGTGGGGAAGGCAGACATTAAATGGACAACTGCTTCTCAAATACAAAATGATCATCCCTGTGCCTTTGCCTCTGCCTGGAGTATCCTTTTCTGGGCTCCACCCTGTCAAGCAAACCCAACCACCAAGCCCCTAGTTCAATTATCTTCTTTATGAAGCCTTTCTGACTCCTTTCCCTGTAAAAGGTAGAGCTAGCCACTTCTTCCTCTTGGTCGTATAGCATTCTGGTCACTTCTCCATTACTGCATCTATTATATTGTATCATGATGATCTGCCTTTCTCCCCTTCTCAGCCTACTGTCTATTTTGTGGTAGATACTTAATGCATTATCACATGTAATTCTCAAAACAACCCTATAAGGTTAGTCATCCTACCTCGTTTTATCGATGAAGGAGACTGAAGTTCACAGGGGTTAAATGACTTTTAAATGACTTCCCATCAGTGACACAACCAGGATATATGGAAGAGCCAAGGTGAGAACCCAGATGTATCTGACTTTCAATCCTGCGTGTCTAACTACTATGCGATCTCGCCTTTAAAAATAATCCTCCTATGTGAGTGGAGCAGTGGTGTGATCTGCTGCACTCCTGCCCCATGCCTGGGATCATCTGAAAAACAGGCAATGCTTCATGAATTCTTTATGGTAATTCTCTCGTTATATACTGATTTTAGTATTCGTACTTCAGTGTGAGTACAAATAATAAAACCAACCAAAGGGATGAAGGGAAAGGAAGACTTAAAGTGTTTAGGAGCAGTTTGTTTCCCTGCCTAGGAGTTGAGCTCAGCTTTCAAAAGAGTCTGCTGAGTTTGAATCCTCAGCCAGGAGAGGAGAATTACCAAGTCTGAGGCCATTTGATGAGCTTTTCGCCACTGGAGTAGGCAGTGCTATCCCAGGCATCACAATGGGGCTCCAGCCCAGCAAAGGGGCCTCTTTTGCAAGACTCATGGTGAAAAGTAACTTCACCTGCATTGGGGGAATACTCAAATTTGTAAGTTTAGTTAATAAACATTTGGTGGGAAGGTGAAATGAATAATCGAATGAATGAACCTGTGGATTGGAGTCCCTGCTTAGGGCCTCCTTCCAGCCTGTTCTCATGGCCCAGGACAGCCTGTCTGCGCTAGGCTGTGCCTTTGTTTGAGGACCAAAGGCATTTGGACTGACCTACTGGATCTGTCCTTATCTTGTCTGAGGCGGGCTGCCAGGCAACAGAGGAGTGGATGGCGCCCTCCCCCCAACACTTGGGCTTGTGCGACCTGCCTGCAGGGATGGTCCTGCAGGTGCCTCCATAGTTCTGAGCCAAGACTGAGAGCCCAGAGTGGAGCCAGGGCTGGATAAGATTACAATTTTCTCCTGCTCTGATTACAAGCAGCTTATCTGCGTTTCGCTGTTGTGACTCTTCACAGACTCAGGGGAAAAAAAAAAGGAAAATCTCATCTGTTCTTGTTGTGTACTTTCCAGAGGGTCGATGAGTGGATGGCGAAGGAAGGTCTCTTAGATCCAAACGTCAAGTCAATTTTTGTCACCTGTGGAGACTGGGACTTAAAAGTCATGTGAGTATGAGAAGGGCTACTTTGCTGGAAGGGCTTGGCATCTGTGGGACCAGGGCTTGCCTTTCATAGGCTGAAATGTCCAAGCCTGTAGGGCAGCTGGCTCAGGGGTCCCTGGATCTGTGGGGCTGCCAGGGCAAGGAGAGCGCTGAGAGCCTTGCCTTCTGCCTCTGGAGCAGGGAGTGGACAGGTCAAGGACCCTACCGGGACTGCTGTTATTGAGGCCTTCCTGCCTTTGCCAGGTCTCACCGCTCAGGATGGCCCTTCCAGCTGTGGGGCTACATGTTATTGCCCTGAAAGGAAGGAGTTAAAAGAGGGTCTTTAATTGTTTTTTAAACCAAATATGTAGTGTCTACTATTCTAAGTGCTTTAGAAATAATAACTCATTTAATAACCCTAGGTACTCTTATTAGTCCTGTTTTATAGATGAGGACATTAAGGCACAGAAAGGTTAAGTAACTTGCCCAAGAACACGCAGAGCCAGGATTCAAACCCAGGCAACCTGGCTCCAGGGCCTTGCTCTTAACTATTACTGTGCTGCCCTCCTCTCTGGGATACAAGGCCCTGTTGATCCATCTGAGCACCCAGTGTTGGGATGAGAGAGGGCTGCTTCTAGGAAACTGCCCAAGTCACCAGCCTCCTCTTTCCTCCTTTGTCCCCACTGCTTTTTCTCCTTTGTCTCCTGATCCTGCCCCAGTTATGAAAGACAGAACTGGTTCCTTTGCTGGGTTGACACTTCTGCCTCTTGTCTATCCTCATGGATACATGGCTGCAGACAGCCCCCAGGGAACTAAAGGAGGTTGGAGGTGGTGGGGGCACTGTTTGCAGAGGGCTGATAGAATCGATACTTCTGTGTTCTTTGTGACTGAAGGTGGCAGCAAGCATCCCGTGTGTGTGTGTGTGTGTGTGTGTGTGTGTGTGTGTGTCTGTGTGGACTTTTGAGCATAGGGTGGGGTGTTGGTGGGGAGTGTGGAGTAGTGGCTCAGGAGTGACATTTCCTACCAAATCAGGCATTATCTCCTCACCAAAGTCCTTTTTATGCCTCTTAGATACTGAGCATTGAGGTGAAGTTATGCACCCAGGTGGGTGTCACCAACTCTCTAGGTGAGACAGGAGGAAGAACAAACCCAGATCACATAAACTCCCACACACCTCATCTCCCACATGTGTACCTAAGGGTCATGTACACACACTGTATACCTCCAGGCTTGCACACACAGCTCCCAGAGCTTCAGAGGATCTCTGTGCTCCCAGATGATGCTCATTTGTCAGGGAGTTGATAGAGGCTGGGCCTGGAAGCAGATGTGAATCAGAGGAGGGTTCCACGGAGAAGGTGAGGAGGAGGAAGTCTGGTGCTCTCTCTTGTTTATGGCATCCTGGGCAGCTTTGAGCACTTGAAGAGGGGAAGGGACTGCGTGGAGCTCTGCAGCACAGGAGAAGCTATTCAGGGCGGGACAGGGTTCAGGCTGGTACACACAGTTCTGGGGCTTATGTAGCCCCATCGAGAGGCCCAGTTCCTCCAAGTAGCCTCCCAGGACTCCCACTCTTCCAGTGGTTTTCTCTCTTTGGCATGTTCATGTCCCAACCACCCACATTTCAGAATCTTCTGCGTTAACTGTGAATGGCATGTAACATATAGGTGTATATGAAAACTTTCCTGTGAGGTTGGGGACTTTATGGCTGGGCCTCCTAAGCTTAGAGTTGGTTTCTTTATGAGAAGGAAAGGGAATTTGAGAGAGTGTCGTCTTCTTTGGGTCTGGCCTATTCTGACCTGCAGCACCAATTCAGCCTTTGACATGGTGCGCCCTGGAAAGATTTTGGTCACTCGGGAGGCTGCTTTGCATCTTCATGGGAAATGATGTAATCAAGAAGGGGGATCGGGATGTGGAATCCAAGCATATGTGAAAGGAAACCAAATTTTAATGAGCACATAGCTTATTTCATTCAGTCCTCCTAACTACCTTCTCTGGTAGGAGGTGATATCTCCCTTTTCTAGATGAAAAAACAAAACAAAATTAAAAACTGCGGCTCAAATTGGTAGAGACTCATAGCTAGACAGAATTGAATTCTAAGACCATGTAGCTTCCGAAAGAGATGATGCGGGCAGACTTTGGGGCTGATTTGGGTTTGGATTGGGAAGGCCAGTAAAGCTCTGAAAAAGAGTGTGCAGGGAGGAAGCAGATGCCAGGTGGCAGGGGTTGGGGGAGGAGAGCTCTGTGGCTGCCTTTTAGAAGCAGGACTCCGCAACTGCTGGGAAGGCTCTTAATTAAATGTGTAACAAAATAAAAACAGCCAGAGAGGAAACCTAAGTAGTGCTGCGTGACAGTGCACAGCTTATCAGTGTTCGTAGAACCTCTTGTCAGATGGCTCTCATCAGAGCCATCACCTTTTTATGCACCTGGTAAAGGCTGCTGATGAGCCTGACAAGGTTGCTGTTAAATTGACACCCACAACTTGTTAGTATGTGGCTTACCTCTTATTTTGACATCCATTTTCAGATTTAACTAAGTCTAAAGGATTCAGCAAATATTTTCATTTCGCACTCTAGTTTCCCAGAGCCATGGCTCCTTCTCATTGCTGTCCTTCCCTTTTCTGCCAGCTCCCTACTCCCCCCAACCAGCTTCACATCACTTTTGTGGGAAAGGTCCTGATTAGTGAGGCACTGAGAAATGGGAACTGAAGTGGCAGCAGAAATCCCACTGGAGAAAAGAAATCTGCTCCCATCCTGAGAAAACCATTTTGTGTCCATCTTTTGTCAAAGCTGGATGAGTTGATACTCTAGGTTTACATGGGCTTTGATGCTATAGTCACAGATCCTGCTAAGGTGGGTTTTAATTTACTGGGTGCGGATTTAATTTTCCTTCTAAACTTGTTTAAGAAATGACACTTGTTGTGGTTTTGGTCCTTGGTCAGCTTGCCTTCGCTGCCTGAACTACCTTTCCTTTGCCTTACCTGGTGTTTCTTGAAGCACCTCGTGGGGTTTGGTGTTCTTGCACCAACTTTCCCTCTTCTCTGCTTACTCAGGCAGGGAATGTCTCTGTAAAGGGGCTCCATCTTTGGTATGGTGGGAAGGTAGGGCTGGTACAGAGTGAGCAGTGACACCTGCACAGGTGCCACCCTTGAAGAACTCAGATTTTAGCCTGTAGCTTGAAGATCTGCACGGCACCGAGTGGCTGATAAGCTAGACCAGAGGCTTTCCCAGTGGCCTGTGGGTCTGAGAAAAGGAGCAGATCAGGAAGAGGGAAAGACTAGGAGTAGGGGTGGGGGTGGGGGTACGGAAGAGTGACATGAGGGAGGACCTGGCCTTCGGTGCAGTCTGGGAAGAGGCCCTTTGGAGAGGGTCAGGATAATCAGACACTGCTCTGGTGGAGCCAGGTCCAGGGTCTGCTCGGAGTCTGTTGAGAGAACCTTCATCTAGGCTCAGCCTCAGCTTTGGAAGGGGTTTTCCTCCCATTGGAGGTTGAATGTGTGAATGCTGGGCTGGCATCTCGCTTGAGGGTTTTTCCTGTTTTCCTCATGCGGTGCGCACACCCACACCTCTGTTGATGTCGTGCAGATGTGGACCTAGAGCACTTCAGATTTTAGAAAGTCTGGAGATCAAAAGATTCTTGCTCAGATTACCCTACTCACTGTTTGATTTGGGGGCATGCACTCAACAGGGGCTACTGAGGGTATCCTCATGGCTGCAGTCAAGTGGCCAAGACTGTTGAAGAGCAGAGGCTGCTGTGACCTGGAGTGAAGTCCTAGCGTGCTGGACCACACATCTGGGAGAGCGCTGTCGGGTAGTGACTATCCTGTAGGGGGTGTGGACAATGGCTGGAAGGGAGGGCCAGTGACACGCTTGTCAGGGATCAGTCTGGGGCCTCTTGGCATCACTCACCAGAGTTGACCACTTCATCTTTCTTGAAACACGTTTCATCTTTATTTTTCTTATGTTTCCTGTTTCTCTGGCCTTTCCTTCACAGTCTCTTTTGCAGATGCTTCTTTCCTTACTTTTTTCTTAAATTTGGTGTTTCTTAAATATTAGTGTTTCTTTGATCTCTGTCCTAGTTGTTTTTTCTTTTTATTCTGCACACTTACACTTGCCAGAGTGATCTCATATTTTGCCAAAGCTTCAACTGTCCTCTGTATGCTGATGTCTTCTAACCTCTTTTTCCAATGAGAAATGGGAACTGATGTGGCGGCAGAGATCCCACTGGAGAAAAGAAATCTGCTCCATGTGCCATCTGAACTCCAGGCCTTCATGTCCAGCTCCCTATTCTATATCTGCACCTGGATGTCCACAGACCCATTAAAGCTCAGGTATTGTCTTTCTCCCAACACCTCGTCCTCCAACATTCCTTCAAATAATGACTGGTACCATCTGCAGTCATGTGCTGCATAATGATGTTTTGGTCAATGACGGACTCCATATATGACGGTGGTCCCATAAGATTAGTACCCTGGAGCCTAGGTATATAGTAGGCTGTACCATCTAGGTTTGTGTAAGTACACTCTATGATGTTCGCACAATGACGAAATCGCCTAACGATGCATTTCTCAGAATGTATCCCCATCATTAAGCAGCACATGACTATACTCAGTAGTTCTGTCAGAAACGTGAGTATCGTCCTTGATTCCTTTCTTTAGCCACAACCAGTTAATTGCCAAATCCTGTTGATTCTTCCTCCCAGAGGTTTCTCAGAGTCATTGCCTTCTTTCCATCCCCGCTACCACTGCCCTAGTTAAGGTCACCACATTCTTCTTGGATTACTACAAAAGTCTTCTAACTAGTCTCTTTGACTCCAGTCTTGCTTCTTCTAGTCTATTCTCCTAATTGTAGCAGATTATGTCACATCCCCGATTAACACCCTTCAAGGCCCCTTGCCCTCAAGGCAAAGTCACACTGGTTATTGAGGCTTTCAAGACTCCTGCTTACTTCTCTAGCCTCATCTCTCATTACTCTCTATGCATTCCCCCCACCCCCCCAGCCAGATGGTGTAGCTAGCCGATTCCTAAGGATT